AGTGAGACTTACCAAATGTGTGAATGTCACAAAAATAATAATCATGAATGTGTAATAAATTAATGTTTTTTTTTTTAACTGAATTTACAAACCATTTATAATTGATTACGAAACAAAGCTCAACCCTTGTTTGATTTTCATTTTTTTCTTCTTTTCAACTAAAAATTTATTTAATAAAATAACATTATACGTAAATTCAAAATTTTTCTTTATTTTTTAACCCTACATTCTCCATCAATTTACTATTTTAAAATAAATTCTATAAAAAAAATGGGGTTAAAGAGAAGTAATACAAACGTTCTCTCCAACATTGCCCATACAATTCTTCTGGTACGTACTGTAGATTGAAACGACATTTCAATGAACTCTTTGACTCACACAGTAGCCTTATCTTGGGATGAACAATAAGTCTTTGTTTGATGTTCATTATTTTTTAAAACAAATAAATAAAATTTAAATAGTGATTTATTTGAAGAATGTGTAATTAAAACGTGCAAAATTTTTGAATTTACTTATAAAATATTTTATTGTGTAAATCTGTGATTGAAAATGAGTTCGGAATCGAACAGGGCTAAGAGCTATGAAGCAATAGGGTATTTGTCCAGATGATCCCTGGTGTGTATTGTATAAACTATAACCCCGTGCATGAGAGCGATTGAGCAGTACTGCCAAATTCAATTCCCTGTCGGCTACGTCTACTCTTTTTTTTTTTTCTTACCAAAAAAAAAAATTATAAATGTTACATCAAATTCTAAATCGTGATTTGTTCCTCCCTTCTATGCAAATATTATTTATCAGTGCACAGGTAGGAATTATAAGGGTTTTCTTTTTGGTGGCGGTGAAGATCTCGACGACGATCCATCACAACATATAGATTATCCGTCTCGAATAAACATATATTTGCCTCGTCCTTTTGGTAGTAATGCTAGGGAGAGAGCAAAGCATCCGAATAAGAAGGAATTATGCGTATACGTATGTGTTCCTATTTTAATACAAAGGAGACAACTTTGTCCCCTTAGCTCGAATCGCCAGCTTTCCCTTCAACAGTCCGCCAATTTTCTCATCCCAAGATTGTAACTTTATTTCGAGACAAAATAATCAACATTCTTTTGAGAGAAAAACAATTTTTATGCCTACTTCTAAATTCTAATCATTAAGTTTTATAATTTCATTTTAAAAAGTTAACCTCGTAAAAAGTATCATATTGTTTTGATATTTAAACAATTTGAAATTTTATACTTTAATTTAATTTATTTCTTATATTCATTTTCAGCCACACATTGACACAATAAAATATTTTACACGTAAATTCAATTTTTATTTTTTATTTTTTAACCACATATTTCCCAAAAAAATACTATTCAAAACAAAGTTTTT